AAAGGGGGGGGGGGGGGGGCTTGAAGCCTTGCATGTCTTTCGAAGCCCCAATCCAGTAGTCCGATTTGGCCTGTCCATCTGGCTACGCCAGCGGCGCCCAAGCAGAGTCAGATGTAGACCTTGCACCACGCTCGACGAGCGGGATTTGTCAGCAAGAGAAGGCGAGCAGCGCTCTCTCGGCTTGGACCTGTGGGTGAGATGTGAGGTGCTGTGCTGTGGCCTTGCTGTGATCTACGATTGATCTTGGTTTGCTTGGCCGGGATGCGGTGGAGCGCGCGCGCAAGCTACGATTGCAGGGTCTCTTGAATCGAGCGTCAGCTCGTGTAGGCAAAGGAATCTCGAATGAGTGAATGTGAATGTGAACTTGAAGAGGTCCCTCGGGTATACATACGAGCCAAATAAGGCTCAGGTCGATGGAACCAAAGGCCGAAAGATGGGCGCGCTTAGCGTCGTTCACTTTGCTCGCCGATGTCCCCGCGCGACCGAAAGTCACGCTTACGAACTCGTGACTGCTGTGTGAGCGTCGAGTGCCCTCGATCTAACGCTCGTGTGGTCATTGCTTCGAGGCGCTGCTTGCTGGTGCGGCAATACGCGTGCACGCGACGAAGGATGGCGGCTCGCGTACAGTGAGCTGCTGGTGTGCTGCAGATGGCATGCATGCATGCATGCGCGTGCCCAGCGTGAAAGCTTGACACGACGCAGCTAGAAATGACGCTTGGAAGCGCGAGCCAATCAAGGGGTTCGGCTGATGCAGCGCGCAAGCTATGGCCGCTGTCAGCGAGGCGCGGGTTGAAGGGGCACAGAATGGCTACCACAGCGATTAAGACTCTCGCAGATGCCATGTCATCTTTGTACGAGGGAGAGGAGAGTAGTAGAGTAGGGTGGGGAAGGACAGCCATGTTTCAGGCTGATCGGACACTGATCAGAGACCCTCGGAAGTGACCATCGCACGAACACAAGCCAAGCAGCGACCCTGCCAGGCTGACGAATGGGTCGTCGGGGACAGGTGCAGCGTCAGCCTGGCCAGCACGTCGCAGACGTGTTGCTTCCCGCAGTCGCCCATGCAGCGCGCAGGGGCGCAGGTGTCCTGTCTGCTCTAGTCAATAGTCAGAGTCACAGTGGCGGAGAGGCTTCTGCATGCGCGCCAGCTTGAGCTAAAAGTCAGCAGTGCAGCGTGTGCCATGCCATTCACGATTTCAGCAAAAGGCCTGTCATCACACTCGTGACTGATGGCATGCGCGTGACGCTGTATGAGTGCGAGGAGCTGGCCGTATCTGCCTGCCATGCAATTGGCAGAGTCGCCTGATGACGACTTTTGACTGGCATAGCGCCCACACCTCGTGCTTCCCCCTCGACCGGCTACCGGCGACCGGGGCTCATTCCAAGCAAGCGCCTTTCAACAGACACGGCATCTCGACGGTGCATGCGTCGGCCTTCCCCGCACTCTGCACCTCGTAAGCAGACCGTACAGTGTGAGTGCTGTGATGTGACTGAAGGCACCCAGCCATCAGCCCAGCAGCGCCCATGTGAGTGCGCGAGCCAGTCAGTGTGCGGACGTTTTCGCTCTGCCACTGGGTCCAAGTCGCACGCAGCCAATCGCATGCTTCCTTCCCCTTTCTAGCTGCTCGCACGCATCTCTCCTACCAACCACATCCACCCTCACGAGCGAGCTTTCATTTCTACCCGTCTTCCGACCCCGCTATTCACGCCACGCTCTGTGCACGCTGAAGCTTTGCACACAAGCATTCCATACTCTCCAGCCTTCCACCTTCTCCATTCCTCCCACACTTTCTCACAATGGCTGCTCCTCAGCAACAGAAGAAAGAGCTCAAGGTTCTGAGCCGGGATGATGTTGGCAAGGTACGCACTCGCTCGACATGGGCTTCTCCTCCTCCTTCATGCGATTCACGCTTTTGATGCCCCTCTCTTGCTTCCGTTCACTTCAGCACAACAAACCCGGAGATCTTTGGATCGTCATCGATGCCAAGGTCTACGACTTGTCAAAGTTTGCTGAGCTTGTGAGTGCTCTGAACGGGGCGAGAGGCATCGCATTGGCAGGAAAGCTCTGGGAACGTTGCTTGGCCACGGGAGCGAGAAGCTCGATGAAGCTTTGGATGACGCTTATAGAGACATGACCTCTTACAAGGCTCATCTGCTTACTTTTGAGCGATGGCTGGCGAATAGTCGGCATCTCTGCCGTGCCGTCGTGCCATGACAGCTGACTCTCGTGCTGTGCCTTGAATGCTCGCCACCCTTTAGCACCCTGGTGGCGAGAGTGTCCTGTACGACGAAGAGATTGCCGGCCAGGATGCCACAGAGACTTTCTTGTGAGTAGATGCAAGCTGGAACAAGTTGGTCCCCACTTAGCACAAAGCTCATCAAGGCCGGCACCACCCCCTTGTAGCGGTCTGCACTTGCACGAAGTCCTCCTCCGACCTGCTTATCAAAGGCTCATGATCGGAGAGATCAAGGGCGAGGAGTCCAAGGTCGTTGTGAGTTGCAGTGTACGCTTGATGCTTTTCGTGCTCGTTTCGGCCCTCTCTAACTCGTTCGATGCTCTGTTTTCTCGTCAGCCCGACGAGCTTGGCTCCCGCTCTAAGGTTCCTTACGCAGAGCCCATGTGGCTCACCGACAACTACTTCTCTCCATACTTTAAAGAGTCTCACCGCAGATTGCAGAAGGAGTTCAGGGCTTACGTGGATAGCATGATTTACGAGGTCGCCCAGCGATGCGAGGCGAACGGCAAGCGCCCCGATGTCGAGCTGCTCCAGGACATGGGCAAGAAGGGCATCAACGCCATGCGCATGGGCCCCGGAAAGCACCTGCACGGCCGAAAGTTGTTCGCCGATGTCAAGGGTGAGGAGTTCGACTACTTCCACGAGCTTGTTATCACTCAAGAGCTCGTCCGCATGGGCGCTCGTGGCTTCGGTGATGGCCTGAACGGAGGCATGGTCATTGGCTTGCCACCCGTCATGAACTTTGGCAGCCAGAAGTTGAAGGATGAGGTCATCGAGCCGGTACTCAATGGCGAGAAGTACATCTGCCTCGCCATCTCTGAAGCCTTTGCTGGATCCGATGTCATGGGCATGCGCACGTTTGCCCAGAAATCCGAGGACGGCAGTCACTACATTCTCAACGGATCCAAGAAGTGGATCACGAACGGCATGTTCGCTGATTACTTCACCACCGCATGCAAGACCGACGAGGGATACGCAGTGCTCCTGGTTCGCCGCGACTTCGGTGGCGTTGAGACCAAACAAATTAGGACCTCTTACTCCACCACCGCGGGAACCGCTTACGTCACCTTTGACAACGTCAAGGTCCCCGCTGACTACGTCATTGGCGAGGATGGTCTTGGTATTCAGATCGTCTTGTCCAACTTCAACCACGAGCGATGGGTCATGTGCTGCAGCACCATTCGCGCTTCGCGTGCCATTTGCGAGCAGCTGCTCAAGTGGTCTGCCCAACGCAAGGCCTTCGGCAAGCCTCTCAACTCGCAGGCCGTCGTGCGCGCCAAGCTGGCTAGCATCATCTCTCAATGCGAGGCTGCTCAGACATGGCTGGAATCCGTCACCTACCAGATGTGCAACATGACCTACAAGCAGCAAGCGCTCTTCCTTGCTGGTCAGGTCGCCCTCCTCAAGAGCTGGTCCACCCGCGTTTCTCACGACGTAGCGGACAATGCTGTCAACATCTTTGGTGGACGTGGTCTCACAAAGACTGGTATGGGTCGCTTCGTCGAGGAGTTCCACCGCACCTACAAGTTCGACGCTGTTCTGGGTGGATCTGAGGAGATTCTGGCTGACCTCGGTATCCGACAGGCTCTGCGTATGATGCCCGAGAACGCCAAGCTCTAGACTCGTCCATTGCCTTCCAGAAATCTTCGCGGCGATCGCTCACGTCCTCCGCTTGTTCTTATACACATTTCAACTCCGAATCGGTGCCTGTGCGTCTCTATTGAACGCAAGTCCTCCGTCTGTAGTGAGCTATCCCATTATCTACCCTTGTCTCACTTGCGCGGAGCAATGAAACGTCACTTCAGCGTCTGCAAGTTTCTGAATGCCGCATTGAGTTGTGAAGATGGTGGTCGCCTTGACATTACTCGCAAAGTGCTGCTACAGCAAACCGCAAGGCAAGTCTGACCGCCTCGACATGTTCAGGAGCAAACGTGAAGTCTTGTCATCATTGAGTATAGGACTGGCTTGCCTGCATGTCCACCGCCCCAAGAATGAGCACGGGAGACCCCGTGCTTTCGGGCGTGTGGTGGGTGGTACACCTACAAAGTGTGCGTACATTGCAAGCAAGGACTCGATTCGCGCCGACGATGAGGGGCCACTTTACTGCAGCCGCGATGGCGATTGGCTGGGTGGGGGACGCAAATCTTGCAAGCGTCGGAGCCCCCCTTTTTTGTTGGAAGGCAGGCCGTAAAAAATTTCTGCCATTGTCCCGTAAGAAAGGGCTTACGAGCCACCAGTATTTTATCGAGATGCCGAGTGGAGATGTGCCTTTGGAAAAAAAGGTAGGGAAGCGAGGGCCCGTGCTGTGCTTGATTGGATACGAAGGACTTACGGGCCTGCATTGACATTGCCTTGGTTACCGGTTCCGGTTGCGGCGGAATGCAATTGCTGCTGCTGCTGGCTAGCCCACGCAGCTAGCTGCCTTGGCACCCACGACTCCAGCAATCACGAAGTGAGTGTGCCGTAAGCGGCACCCATGGCATGCAAGAGGAATCAGAATTACCATCACGAATGGAGCGTGAGATGCGGAGGGCAGTCAGTGCTTGCATCTGATATCATGACAATCACGAGTCGAGCGAGCTTCACCACTCGGCATGAGCGCGCGCCCCTTGAACAGGCACGATGTCAGCAGCACACTCACGACTGCACACGCCTCCTCTACATTTGGTGAGCCTACACGCATGAGCGGTGGCAAGGCAGCATGCAGGCATATGATGGACTCCAGTGCCCCGTGGGAATGGTAGCGGACACGTCACAGCTTGCACCAACCCTGAGCGTGTGTCCTTAGCGTCGGACACGAGCAAGCAAGCATTGAGGAGAGATCTGCGTTTGACCCGATGCGGTTCTTTTGAATGGGGGGTTAGGGGGGCGTTACAGGGACCGCTTTTACTTAGTCTGTCAGAATTTGAATGAACCTCGATTTGCTTTTTCATGCTGTCCGTTCACTTAAGCCGTCCTAATAGACCTAGCTAGCTGTTGCCCTTCACAGCCCGCGCTAGCTGGTATCCAAATCAGGCACCCGCGGTCATGTACCGTACCTATACACGTAGCGCATGGAGCACACGCGCGGTGGCTCATGCGTCCCGGCCCGAACTTTTCACAGGTAAGTTCGGGCTCCGCTGTAGGGTCAGGGATCTTCGAACGATTGATTCAATTGCAAAAGTTTTTAGAAAATCGTGAATCTTGAATGAAGCGTACAGGATGGCCAAGGGTCAAAGCACGTAGAAATGAGGTCTATGATTGCTGGTATAGGAGGCGATTGCGCTAGGCAAGCCCGCGTCATGGGAGACCCATGCAGATGATCCGTCAGACGCTCGAGTACTCATGTCCTGCCGCTTTTGTAACTCCAACGTCATGCCGATTGTTGTGATGATTCACCTTCAGCATCTCTCGAGCGGTCTCTGGACGCTCAGCATGTGCAAGTCACGAGCGCTGATGGACGGCCAAGTCAGGGACCCCGCCCGACCACCATCCGCGGTTGAGGTTGAGTGAGGCCGGCCGGGCTATGCTGCAACGCGCGCATTTCAATACTGTATATCGATGCAGCAGAAACCTTTGAGCGCCGCGGGACGCGTGTCTGCGCGACAGGAAATTGACAGACGCGCGGGCAACGCGCGGGCAACGAATTGACGGGCTTCCTTTCTGCGAAAGAGGCTGCTGCAGCCAGCCACCGAATCCTTGCATGGAACTTGCATGCCGAGCATCCGACCAGTCTTCTCGCACATGTCTGCCGAGGCGCGTGATGCCGCGCGAGCACCATCAAGCTCGAGCGGTGCTGCATCCGCGCGTGCTTGCTGCTGGTGCTGCCGGCCGCGGCCGTGCGGTCTGGTGGCCTCATGCAACGCGACGAAGCGGAAGCGTGGGCCACGGGCGCGTGCTTGAACTGATTGATGCTGTCTGTGACTGCTGCATGTGTACTCGTGACTCGTGACTGGACGGTACCGTTGACAGTCGTGAGTGTAGTGCGGTGCGCGGTGTATAGGCACACTATACGCATGTATTTGCATCAGCAGAAGCGCCGTCTGGATCTATGCATCGTCGTGAGTACAGCTTGTGCACACAGACCCGCCGCAGGACCCGTACCGCACGCCCACGCACGCACGCACGCACGCACGCACGCTCCAGATTTGGGGACCAAGTCGTGAGTCGTCGAGAAGGCAAGGAACAGGATGAGTGTAGGGGCGCGCGGCCCGGGGCACGCCCACATAGCTGAATCCCTCGACTCCACATCTCCTACCGCACTACCGCCTGCATCCCTTTCCTCATCTCGATGAGTCCTGAGTGCCTGTACAAAGCAAACTCAAGCGACGACCACCTGATCATCTCTGCCATCTGCACCTTGATACTCACCTTGACGCCGCATCGACATCGCCTTCGTCGAGCGAGAACGAAGTGGTAGCCGCGCTTTCCGAGCCACGCTTTGCGATCCAGGCCGATAGCAGGCTTTGCACCCACCCAACTCAACGACCTCATTTCTTCTCATTCCATACTTTTACCCTCGACGCTTCATCTCGACCTGCTCTACCCGACAGCGAGATATTGGCTCCGACAGCGCCTCACCGATCATAATTGGTTGAGCTTCGCGCCGGATTTCTGATCCGCTCGGCCGCACGCAGCTCATCGTGTGGATACAACGTTTCGTCGAGGCCCGCAAGTCGTACTTCGCTGAAGCTCAAGCCCATTTGGACCTCGGAGATTCAGAACCTAATTGTTCTAGACGTGCTCAAAAACGGATCTGTAGCAGACAGACAGCAGCACTTAAGGAGTTAGAGGATAGCACCACTTCTCTTTTCTCCTCATTCTGCTCGCTCTTCATCATGCTTCCCGCACAGCGCAACAAGGTCGACATTTCTGTGAGTGAAGAACGACTCGACACGTGGAGCACCGAGTGGCTACATGAATCATGTAGTACGGTCTAAGATTGCGTCTTGAGGAATATTTAAGCCTGAGACATGGGCTTGGACAACCAAGACGCATGCCGCGACGAATACCGGAAAGGCTGGCTAGACTCGTTTGCCCCGGGACCTATGCGACTGAGTACATCCTCCCATGGGCGAACGGCTTCCAGAGTGCTAGAGACCTTTGCAGGGCTATCGGGCGTTGTACGTATGTAAGCCAGACCACCCTGCTCACCTTAAAGGCCTTTCCTCTGCATCGCGCAGTCGCTAACGGAGGAGGAGCAGAAACTCTTTCGTCTCTACGGCAAGCTACCCACTCGAAAGGATGTGGTGGGCAACAAGCTGAAGGTGAGCTGAGCGTGTCGTTGCTGCTGATGTATCAAGCGGCAATGCTGATGCGAATCACTTGTATATGTTGCGACTTGCAGGAGCGCAAATACTTTGACTCTGGCGACTACGCACTGAGCAAGGCTGGCAAGGCCACGCCTCAATCTGTTGGCACGGCCATCCCGAATCCAGAGACGATCCCTCACGCTTCCACAGTTTCCTCCCCACCAACACAAGGCGCACCCACCTCACTTGGACCTCAAACATCCGGCCCCGGCTCGGCTCCTGTCGCTGTGCCAGATCCTAGAGGATTTGGTCGCAACCAGCCTCAAGTTAGTGCCTTTCCCACCGCTACCGGCTTTAGCTCGAGCGGATCGCCAAACAAGGATGGTTCACCTACCAACACGAGCAACCTCGGCAGCAGCCTGGCTCGCAACGAAGTTGCCGCTGAGGACTTGATGGACGAGTAAATGCGTCTCTATCAATGCTTGCTGGCTTGCGCCTTTGACGACCTCCAGAGGACCTCCACAACAAAGTGAGGGTTAACGACTAGCTTCAGGTAGAGATACATGGCTTGGTGTCAACTCTGGCCGATTTCGTGGCATACGGTGGCAGTCGCGTCCTCTCAACTCCGGCTCTTCTGCGTTGCGATCCCACATTGGCGCGGTACGCTACTTCGACTCGACTCGACTCGACTCTGGTCGCGGCATCTGTAATGTACACTAATGACTGTCCGGCGAATCCAAATCTTACGAAACAAGGCGCCATGTCCTCCCTTCAGGAGACAGGTCGTGGCTTGACTGGTTGAGCTTCAAGCGGCGTGCGCTAGGTACGTCACGCTCGTAGAGGAGTAGGTCATCGGCAAAGGCGGGCACTGCGCAGTGCGACGTGACTAGCATGGCTTGCGTGTATAATAAGGTGAATGCTATCTTTCCATACAATTGTCGAGGTGGAAGCAAAGAGGAGTGCAAGAGAAAGCGAGCACAGAAGCGCACCCAACGAGAAATTGGCGACGGATCAACAAGGACGAGTATGCTTGCGGAGCCAAATTTGTAAACGTGATGCAAACACGGCGAAAAACAAGGTTGCGATCGGTCGGCCTCCTCCAAAAAGCTGGGGCGACCAAGTGTACGTCGGTCGTGATGGTAAAATGGGGGCCCGAGGCAGCCTGTCATGAACGCTCCGGTGCCGCAGAGAGCCAGCCGCCCTTTTCCCAGTTCTTTGAGGGCGACCAACGCTCAGCTGCGCGCTGTTCAGTATTCTTGAGACCGTTGAGCAGGGCATACAGCCGTGCAAAGTCGATCGGCTTCAAGATGAAACCGTCGAAGCCAAGATCGACAATCTCGTCGTGCATGTCGTGCGTAAGAGTGGCAGACACGGCCAAGATCGGTATTCTGCCGTTGAGGATGTGTACGGCTGGACGCCCTTCCATTAATGACGCTTCCTTGCGCTGTGCCTCAAGAGCTCGAATGCGTCGGCAAGCCTCCTGGCCATTACATATCGGCATCTGAAGATCCATCAGAACAACATCGATGGCATCGCCATCTTTCTCAAATGCCCTGACACCTTCTTCTCCATTCACCGCCGACGACACCGAGTGTCCATCACGACCAAGGCGCTTTGATAGGATAGCGCGGTTGATCGGATCGTCCTCCACCACAAGGGCGCGGCATGGTGGTACTTTGGGATTTGGTTGTGCTGCTGCAGAGGACCTTCCGCGATTCGCGGCCGCCAAGCGTCTTCCGCTCGCGCCCTTGGAGGCAGCTATGCGGGCGCTTTCTCCTTCCTGTGAATCTGAGCTGATGGAAGCTTTCGTCGCAGCACTCTGCGAGGCGTGAGGCTCATTCTTCGTACCAACATAGTCCCGCGCTTCGACGCCTCGATCGTTGCGCCCCTCTGCTGTGGGTCCAGATGGCGACTGCGCTTGAGGAAGGGCTCCGGTGCCGCGTAGCCCACTATCCGACGACTGCCCGTCTAGCTCGTGAGGATCGACTCGAACGGATCTTAAGGGCACCTTAGAGCCGCTGATGTGTACGCCAGTGTCGTGGACAGGTCTCAAGGTGATCGCCTGAGGTGGTCGTGCCTGCTCGGAAGAAGAGGTAGACTGGGTGCGCGTCATTTCTACAGATCGACGTTGGCCACCGCTACCAATAGCAGAGCTGCCGGCATCTGATGCGTCCAGGTGAGGAGCGTTCAGTGCTTCTACGAGCGAATTGATTTCGCTTTGTCCAGATCCGGACGCCTCGCTGCCTTGCAAGGATGCTGACCGTCTCCTAACTTGCTGTGCACCACCTCGCGCAGCTTCCCCACGTTCCGCAGACCTGAAAGGAATCAAATAGGTAAAGCGCGAGCCTTCGTCCACAGTCGAGTCTACGCGCAACTGGCCGCCGAGATTGCGGACCACCCGAGCGACGACTGCCAGGCCAAGTCCAAGCACCCCTCCGCTCTGCTTGCTTTTCTCCACATCTCGTGCGGCCGCGAGCTCAAGTTCGTCAGAGGATCCGCTTACGCCTTCGCTTTCTACAGTCTCAGCCTTGACGTCCGAAGGGGCTGATGGATCCGCAATCACCGACTCCACCTGCTCAAACTCGCGGAAGATCGATTCGAGCTTTGCGCGTGGTATACCACTGCCAGTATCTGAGACCGTCAGCTCTACCTCAATGTCGCAGTCTTCCGGCAGCTCTGACAATTCTAGAGAGTCTCGTTGTCTCATCTCCACCACAATTTGCCCTTTGGTGGTGTGCTTGACAGAGTTGGTGACTGTGTTGGTGACGATGCTGCGAATGCGATTTTTGTCGCCCAGAACCATAAGGGTTTCTGGCTGTGTTGTGACTGTAAAGTCGATCTCGCGCCGCTTGGCCTCCCACTCGTGCATCTCGACTGCTTCGCGTATTGTGGAAGCGAGATCGAACGGCTCCTGCAAAAAGAGCCTGTTCCCGTGTTCCTGACGAGTAAGATCCAACAGATCATTGATGACGAAAAGAAGACTTTTCGAGGCCATGTGCGATTTGCTTAGGTGATCACGCGTGTCGACATCTAAGTTGCCATCCAGCGCCATCTCGAGGTAGTTGATGATATGATTGAGCGGTGTCCGTACTTCATGACTTGCGTTGGATAAGAGTAGACGATTGAGCTGGTTATATTGCATCGCTTGCTCCCGCTGCCGCCACACGCTGATGAATTTGCCGTACACCAGGCAGAGTACATTGGCAGTCTCCAGCTCTTCATCCTTCCATGCTCTGCATGTGCCAGTGACAGTCTCGCTCCAAATTTTGAAGGACTTGCGTGGTTCCAGAGCGGCGGAGCCTTCTTGCCCTTGCTTGAAAGGTCGACCTGCCCAGTTGACCTGCCTGTTCTGTGCCTTCCTCAAGAACGCGATGAAATCGACGCCGGAGTTCGAGAGAGGAACGAGTAGCAGGCCAGCAATGACTTCCAGCCCGCGGGGTAGAACCATGTCTGGGAAGTCAGCACTGACATCCTGGGACACCACCACCCTCTGAAACTTTTTGATGCGCAAGTACTCGGTGCAGCCTGGCGAAGGGACAAACCATCAGCATGGCCACAATCATCGTGGGCAGTCTTTGGCATCTCACCTAGAACCTCTTGGCTCGCGCTGAGCGGGCCAAGGATTTTGGCCTCCGATCCGATGGCAATGACACCAAAGTCGGCATCAAAGAGCTTTAGCAAATCTTCGGCATTGGAGATGATGTATCCGCTTGGATTCTGGTCCGTTGGTAGCGTGTTGATGAGCTTCCTGGCACCTAACCGGCGTGTATAGCTAAGACGCTCGATATTGCGACTGATTGAAGCCCCGATGAGCCTCGATAGCTGTCGTTCCGGGAAAGATACTCTTTTCCCGTACTCTCCGTACGTGTGCAGAGCGATGAGCCCCCAGAGCTGATCGAACGCTGTGATGGAGATTGACATGCTCGCACGGACACCCATGTTTGCGAGGTACTTGATGTGAATCGGACTCATCGCGCGCAAGACGGCGTGCGTCATATCGACGGGAGTATGAAGGTCTTCTTGTTCCCGACAAACCATACGAGCTGAGGGTTGATCGCGGTCGTACAGCAGGCGCACCTTGTTGATCATGTACAGATCCCGCGCTTGCTTTGGAATGTCTGAAGCCGGAAAGTGAAGACCGCGGTAAAGGTCGTGTGTCTCGCTCCAGTCTACGAGCTCGCAGACTACCTGACCATTCCAAGCCTCGTCGAATTGATAGATCATCACTCTGCCGAAGCCGGTAACCTCGCGAACGAGACTGACAGCGACTTTCAGAAAGCTGTTCAGCTCCGACTCGGCAGAAAGCTGCTCATTGACCTGACTGAGGATGCCGAACATGTCCAGCATTTGTGAACCACTGTCTCTGCGACCAGAACCCAAACCTGGCCCACCGCCTGCTGTTGCTTTCTTGGGTCGAGGTCGTCTTCTGCCATTGCCCTCTCCGCTCTTGTCCTGTGTGCGCGTCAGCGATCTCAGCGGTCGCGAGGTTGATTGGGTCGATTCGAGCCACTGTTCGTGGCTGGGCTCATAGGGCTCGCCTTCTAAGCCGCCTAGTCCTCGAGCCGAAAGAGTAACGGAGGAAGAATTTGAGGGTCTAGCGGTATCGTCTGACTTACTCGAGGTGCCTAAGCTTGGCCGCGGAGAAGTTGAGCGCGTGCTTGCGCCTTCGGTACCGCTGCCCGGTGACGCACCAGCCTGAATGCTGAGACGAGCAAGCTGCCCGCTCAAAGATTCTTTCGCATCCAGACCCGTTGTTTGTTGTACGGCAGTGCCGGACGCTGATGCGCCGCCACTCGCAGAGCTCTGGGTTCCTTGACCCAGAACTGATACTTGCGCTTTCTGACGCAGCTCGCAATTGTGCTCGTCGACCGGAACCGCAGGGGGCTCGGTGGGGTGATACAGAGGGTTGTGGGCATCGTTGATGAGTTCAAATTCCAGGATGGTCAGCGGTCGCCGACCCTGCGGAGTGGCATTGAGTTTGGGCTGATGGACGGCACACCAACATTCCCAATGTCTTCGTGCGCGAGCACGGCCTGTGCCAGGTCCGGGTTGTCCCCAGCCAGACAATTGAATGACGACTGGGCCGGACTCCGTAAGTTCTTGCTCCGTCTGATCCAAAGCTTCGATCGTGTCCCACAGTCGATCAGCTTCGTCATCCTCCAGGCAGTCCAAGAACGACGCAGTCTTGAAGAGGAACGCAGGAGCCAGACCCAAGATATCGCCGGTATTTTCTGAAGCCTGGCGCACCACGAGATTGCCCTCCTCATCCTCTCGCACAACAATCATACAGCCAAACGACTGCACCGCGCCGGGAATGTGAATTGGCTGCGCAAAAGAGATCCGAAAAGAATTAGATTGAGGAGCCTCGTGCCGCCGGGTACCGGTATGCGAAAATGGTGCTCGTCTGGTGCGCTACTCACTTCCTCTTCGCATCTAGTGAGTTCCTTCTGCCTACCGGTGACAATCATGTGCCCATCAGGAGTGGCGATATGCGTGAAACGAGTTTGTGTCATGCTCTCGAGCCTATCTTTCTCGGCTGCTTCCGCCAAAGCCTCCCTTCTCGCGAGTTTCCTCGCGTCTTCATCCAGGGGGTCAAGCTCCGCGTACCCAACGTCCGAATGCCGCGCCTCCTGCGCTTCTGAGGCTTCCTCGTCAACAGAGTCCAAGTCCAAGTATTCCCCGACAGAGGAGTCTGCAGCAGCATCGACGCGTGCATAGCTTGCGCTTGCCTCAGGGTCACCTTTGCTGGATGGAGTAGGGGGGGCCGCCGCGGAACCCACGCTGGATTTGGAAAGTGCTCGCGTTAGGGATGCTCCTCGAGAATGCGAAGATGCGGGACGTTTGCCGCTAGTCAAGGATTCTATGCTGTGAGAGTGAGTGTGACCTCCTTCGCGAGACGACTGTGGGCTCATTGCCTGACTTCCCTGGGCTGAGGCGGCTGGCGGCCGGACCGACACAGCGCTGCGAATGGGATAGATGAAGCCCCCCGACTCTTGTGTGCTAGAAGAGGAAGGACCAACATAGCGTGGCGATAGTGGTGCTGGAGATTCACCAGCCGCATTCTTGTCGCTGGCGACGGATGATGGCACCATCCTGTCTCTGTTGGCGGCGCAGAGCTGAAAGCTCTCTCGACCGCAATCTCCTGCCGCAGTGGCACGATCCTAGGGCGACTCGCAACTCCTGACAATCGAGAATGTGTGACAACCCTGTCGGATCGAAAAGCCGATTCGTGAGGGAAAATGTGTTGAGATCCGCTGAATCAGTAACCGAAGCTGATCAAAAGAAAATCGAAAAAGTGGAACGGGCGGGCGCAGCGGAGATTTCGCCAGCTCTAGTCGTGCTCGCCAGGGTCTGGGGGTAGAAAAGTGCAACAGGCGTGAATCCGAGTAGGGATGCGGAGACGGGTGGGAATGGCCTGAGTGGAGCGTCAACTGGACACCGACAGCCTGAAGTGATAGCCAGGTGCGGCAAGCAGTCTTGTTGAGGCAGGCATGCAGTCACGGAAAGGTAAGATGAAGGGCAAGATGACGGCGGTGCGGTACAGGAAATCAGGCGTGATGGGTGGTACACCATGACACTCGCAGACTGGCCATGCAGCCTTGTTGCCGTGGCTGCCTGCCTATGCTGGCTGACGCGAGAACACGCGCTCTCGCTTGAAGGAGGGAGGCATCAGCAGCATGCAGATGCAGCTATAGCAGCTGCGCATCGCTCGCTGCCCGGGGCGCACTCAGGCCCTGGCTGTGCTCTTGACTCAAGTGACATGTGTGCGGCGCGATCGTGGTGGTGTGGTTGGACCTGCAGTCAACGTCATGAGTCTGCAGTCGCATGCTTGCAGCCGAGACAGCAACAGCAGCAGCAGCAGCAGCGAAGGCGCATCGCATCTTTGATGGCTTTGTTATTCTGAGCTTCTGGAGTTTGTGTGCGTGGTCAGCAAGCAGCCAGCAGACCAGAAAATTGCCCATCTCCTTAGGCCATCCCCCTTGCGGCTGCTTGCAGCGGAAGCAGTCATCGCCGCGAGTCCGAATCTTGACATGGAAGCCCATGCCATTCGATCCAAATTTGCTTGGCATGTCAAGTCAAATCGCGACCGCTTGAGTCCCGGTAAGGGTCCTCTTAACGCGGGTGAATATCAGCCTCCTCAAAGCGTGCACCGATGATCTTAAGATTCGATTTGCCCATTCAAGATCACACTCAAGTTCACACCCAAGGATGCTACACAGACACGAGCCTGCGTAGCTGCAGTCAATTTCCACGATTGAGAGGCGTCTACCATTCATGATTGTTAGTCCACGAGGGTGAACCAAGAATCGCGACCAACGTCCGTGTCACGAAACTCCAAGAGATCGTGACGGGGCTTGCAATCAACAGACGCCGCTTGAAAGCAATTGCACCAAAGGTATAGAGGAAGCTCAGATCACTATCCACCTCCTTTAGAGCTCGCCATCGGAGTATTTGGAAAACACGCGATGATCGAGACGCAAAACGTAGACATTACAACTGGCGAACCTGGGCCCGAATCAAGCAGATGTATATACAAAAAAGCTCAGCGAAGCAGAAAAGGGGGGTGTCGTTGCTCGAGCGTCAAACCGCATCAAACCCACTCGACGCCTGAGTCCTCGCCATCTTCCTCCACCCAGCCACGCAGATCTTTCCAGACGATCCTACGCGTAAGCGTCGCAAGGACGTCGGTCAAAGCATCTCTAGCTTCGAACAGACTGACGTGGCGCTGCTCGGGCAATTTGATAGTGGGCGTTTGACTTCTGGACGTTGGGGTGATGGTACCCGAGTCTGAAGCGAGCGACGCGGCAGACGCTCTTCTCGTCGATCCTTCCGCAGACTGCTGTCGGCGAGTTTGCCGCGAGATCGCAACCACTGCTAGCTGGGCCCGCAACTGGTTCGCCGAGGTGATGAGTGAAGTCCTTGCGCCTTCTGTGGGATGACCGCTCGTGCCGGCGCACATGGCTGAAAACCCTCGCAAGAAGAGCAGCCAGCCCAGCGTGGTTGCAGCGACGTTTTCAGCGCAGTCTAGCATCGCGTCGACCGAATGAGCATCGAGGCTGCTCGCCTCGTGTAAACCGGCTGGAAGGACCAATTGAACAAGCGACGAAGAAGAGGCGGATCTTCGAACGGCGCCTGAGCGAAGTAGCGAAGCGCAAACGTTCCGGGCCAGTAAAGTGTTGCCAATCATCAAGGACCAAGCACCAAGCAGAGTAAAGGCGATGTCGCGAGATTCGGGTACAGGAGGCGCTGTAGCGACAAGTTGTGCAATGCGCGATGTAATCGCTTCGCGCTCTAGGTTGTTCGTCGCGATGTCTAACTCAAGTCGCATCGTCCTGGCATGTCTGATGAATTCTCGCACAGTCGTGGCAGCCGTAGTCTCGAGGTCGACGTTCACGGCGCCGGGACACGTGTGGCGCACCAGGGCTTCGAAGATCGTCGACCACACGTCGTCGGCTTCCGCGGCGTGCAGATGCACCGACACGCTCAGAAGAGGCGAGAGAGCAGTCGCGCGCGCCGTCGCCGGTGCGGTGGCTCTGAAAGTTGCGAGGACTGCAGTCGGGGTTGGCGCGTACGTCAGAGCCTCCCACGCCTCCAGTCTCAGAACGTTGTCTATCCATCGTTCGTCGACCGAATCGTGAGCTTCGGGGAGCGTGTTTCCATCTAGGGCCGATTGCGAGGCTTCTTCGTCGGCAGCGATAAGTCGGCATCGGCGCGCACGTTCCCAGCATTGAACAGCCCACCGTTCCGTGATAGCGTTGCCAGGCAAAGCTCGAAGAAGAGCGAGCGCGAGGGTAGCATGTCCTTGGGCGCGCTTGATCTGATTTAGCTCCAGAGCTGCAGAGACACGCATGATTGTATAGAGGCGGGCGACTAGACTGGGTTCCGCGAGTGGACCAAGGGATGTCTCCACCTCTAGCAAACGAAGCCAGATGGCAGCTTCGCCAGAGGTCATATCTGTCGCAGAGGGACGCAGACCCATGGCAGTGCGCAGAGCCTTGGCACCCTCAAGGACCAGTCCATAGGCGGAACAGAGTGGGTGCACAGGCGCCACCACAAATGTGCGCAAGGCCGTATTCGTTTCACGCGCATCAGGATGCGACCGTGCCAACACTTGCAATAGGGCTCGCCTGCGCGCGTCGAAGGAAGGATCGTCGAGATTGGCAACTGGTTCGCTCGATGCTGTGCTTCTACTACGCGCAGCTCTCCGATGCCAGCGAGTCAGAAGTCGCGAAATGATAGGCCAAACCAAGATGAGGAAGATGCCGATGAACGTCACGATGCGAAAGGTGTCCAGAATGGCAGGAGCGCCGGGCTGGTATTCCACCTGACTTTCGTCGAGGACTTGCCGCTTGACGAAGTGCGGTACAGATGCAGAGGTAGACGCAACCTCGTTCGGTTGAGAGTCAGGTCCGAAGATGGCGAGGGTAAGCATACCACCTGTCATGGCCCGCGCGAGCGGTCCTGCGCGAGAAGCGCGGCTGCGTTTGATTTGCTGACCATCGGGCTTCTCGTCGTCTTCATCCTCACCAGAGTCCTCCTCATCGTCGTCATCAGAATCCTCTCCGACCTCGAATTCATCGATTTCGGGCTCGTCATGTGAGGTGTCACCTGTTGAGCCCGTAGCCGACTGCATTTCAGCCACCCACAGCTCTAGAAGCTCGTCACCTCCTTCTAGAGATGTGATTAGCTGTCTCAAACCAATGACCTCGTTTGACAAACGAATCTCTCGACCCTTTAGGACGCGGATGTATGCGGTAGCTGTTCCCAAAATGGTGGCTTTGTTCAGCTTGGTGGCACGGGGCACGCCGTCGACCAAATCGTTCTGAAGCCGTGCTTTCTTTCCTCGTCGACCTCCCGGCAGAGGTTTGGGATCATGGAGAGCTGGTACAGCGTGACGCAAGGCTGCAATGCGATCATTGATGTTGTTGCGATATCTGCGCTCGATTGCGTTGTGAGCTACTTTGCGTTGCGACTTCTCGGAAGAACCATTCGAAAGATCCTGTGAGTCGTCGTCAGAGCCAGAGCCGCTGTCACGGTGTAGCCTGCTGCTTTTTGAAGCAAGCGAGCCATCGACTGTGCTCTTGCCATGGCGAGCGTTTTCAGCACTTTCGGCAGCTGCAGCAGCAACAGCAGCTTGACGTTGGCGTAGCTTGATGATTGCAGCTTGTGCTGTGGCGTTGCTGCCAGCTGCCATCTCGGGAAGATTCATCGAGCTGCTAGATGGCGCACCGTGGCTTTCGCTGGCCGGGTGAACTGCAGGCGCTATGGGCTGGTGCTCTCTCTTGACTCGCCGACTTGTTTTAGAATTCTCCTTCGACGCGGGTGGTGCCGTTCTGACATTTTTGGATGGGCGGCCTTCGCTTGGCCTTTCGCCCGATGCTTGACGCTTTAGGTCTGTCTTGTGCGGCGCAGTACTTTCGAACAATGATGGCACACTACCCGCCACTCCCAACATACCCATGGCATTGTTGATAGCGGGATTGAGAGCGTATTGCTCGGAGCTTGGCTTGCTGGGCGAAAAGGGAACACTGGAGAGTTGTTCTGGAGTCACAAAGGTCGTATCAGGGGCGCTGCTCGAATAGGGCGGGGAGCCGCCGTGCGATGTGGCACTACTAAGTCCAACGTTGCTGTGAGCACTAGGGCTAAGGCCCGGGGTGCTCGAGGGGGCGCTGCGCTGCTGATCACTGTAGCTTTCACCGAACACGACCCTTGGATCGAACGACATGCTGGTAGGATCGATGGTGCCGTCGGACCCTGTTTCGCCACCAAAGGAGAAGAGGGGCAGGTCGCTACGCTTAGCATCAAGTGTCTGACCAGCATCATTGTGTTCGAGGGAGTTGTCGCTCTCTGGAGGAGTAGGGAACGCGTGAATGCCGAGTACGAAGTCATGCAACGAGTGCGGACTACCCGCTGAGAAAGATCCAGCTGACGAATGCGTAGCGCTGTGGTGTGGGATTTCTGGAACTGTATGCCCAAGTGCGTCAAAGCCGCCCTGGAAGTGATACGAGCTTTGAGGCTGGAGTGAAGGTTGCCCTGAGAGTGTGGCGACGTGCTGAGACTGTAGCTGCGGCTGCGACGAAGTAACGGCCAGCAGATGGCGCAGGTATGCCTCATCTGGCGCAGGACCAGGCCACTGGGGGTAGAGCTGCGGCAATTGCTGGCGATCAGAAGTCTGCTCAGGCATTGCGTGCTGAGGATAAGCATACATGCCCGTCGAGAAGTGAGGCTGGCTGCCCATTGGTCGCGAAGGGGAGGTGGGTTGAGGGGGCTGACTCTGACGGCGGAACAACGACAAGATTTGCTGCTGCTGCCTCTCGACCTCTCGCTGATGTTGCAGATGGATGGCTTGAGATTGAAGATGGTGATTGCGATCACCAAGAGCATCCATTGTTGCGATGAGTGCAAGTCGAGGGATGGGCTAGATTGAGGCGCGTGTGATTGAGACACTGCGGACCGCCGCCGCCAAAGCTTTGTCGGGAGTGGAAAATGGCGTGGTCACTCACGACTGCCGATTCGATAGTCCGAGGCGGAGATCAACTTGCTATAGCCATGCTCGAAAAAGCGACCGAAGAGCGATCAGCTCATGTCGGTGATTGTTTTGTTTTCACTCACTGCAGTGCCGGTTGCGATGTATGGTGCAAGACGATTGTGCCCACATTTTGATTTAGGTTGAAAGTGGCCTGAGGTTGTTGGGTCGAGGCAGTGCGGCCAGACGCGAGCGGCCGGCACGAGTCTTGCTGCG